TGGTCAAAAGTTTACTCAGCGATCTAGGCCACCCATAGAGGGGGAAAGGGGAAAGCTTTCTGGTGCCTAGGCGCATAGATGGCCCATTAGGGTTAGGAAAAAACATGGTGCATCCTTCATTTAAGCAATCATAACCATTTTATTTAAAACCTAAATACACCACCACTTATAAACACAACAAATAAACACATTTCATTAATTGTTGCCTAATTCAAAATGTATATTCCCTCTTCTTAAAATGGTATGATCCTTTTATTTTTGTAACATTAAAGTTGTGGGTGAGCTCATTGAAGTTAACTGTTAGGCCAGTAGGCCAATGGCGGGCTGGACCCCATGCCACGACCTGCAAAAAAGTCAGGATGCCACAAAGGAAGGAGGAATTCGACAACAACAACAACAACAACAACAACAACAACAACGTGTAAGCAAATTTATTTCAGTAAGTTCCAACAAATGTATCGGTGCCAGGCAGAGGAGGCAAATGTTAGCCAGAAGGCTAGCACTACTACTGATCCACTGAGGGCCCAAACACTCAGTCTGCTCTTTCACAGGACAGCAATTTCCATGGGCGGGCCTGTAAACGATTGTAGGCAATATTTGATGAGTGGTGCTGTCAATACAATCAACTGAAGGAAACACGATCCCCTCGTGAATATATATTTTTTTGTTTAAAAATTGTACGCAGATTTTGTCCATCTTCTATCACACGCACAATCTCCTTATCCAAATTATCTTTTTTTTTTTTTTTTTTTTTAAACAGTGCACATTTTCCTTTTACAAATGTCTAATTTTCTTAGAACGGTCTCTGTGTTTGCATCCAGTTTCTCTGCTATCAAAAATAGTGGATAGATTGTAGGTCACACGAATACGTCAAGCACCGTCACCGACACCCTGTTACATCAAAATGTTCTAAATATACACTGTACAAGGCAGCAAGATGGATTATAATTCAGGTATACCAGTGACAGCTTTAATCAAAATTAAAGTTGGATTTATGGGGCGTTTACATAACAGGACAAAATCCAGGTTCTTAATTTTCTTTGTCACTTGCTTTAAAGTTTATCCTCTGACTACTTTCATCAGCCTGTAATATTGGATGTATCCATGTAGAAAGGAGACATTAATACTCCTTTCAACAGCTGCCATTTGCAATAATTAGCCCCATTGCTGCTAAGCGAACACTACAGCCTCACAAAATGGAAGCCGCTGGCACAGCAGCCGTGGAGTGATGTATTACTGTGCATTAAACTTGTTTTTATTCTCCTCCACACCCCATAAAGGATATAAGGGAGAGAGGGTGATAAAGCAGGGAGAAAATAGAAGGTTGAAGAAAAGAGAAGGGAAAAAGGTGAATAATGATGATTGGATTGAGGCCGAGAAAAAAATGAAAAAAGGCAAGGGATAAATACACAAATATTAAATGTGTGACGGCATAGGAATAAAAAAAAAAAAACAATCAACAATGTACAACATGTTGATGAAGTTTCAATGCAGAATAAAATAATAGAGATAGATAATAACACAGATAATAACCCACATGAAGGAACACAAACTCACATTTGACCTTCACTTGACATCATTCAATTTGTAGAATGGGATTTAAAAAAAAAATGTTCCCTGGAATTTTATTTGAATGAAAACCAAGTGGTGCTTAAGTGATTACAACCATTTTTGTGAGTCAGAGCAGCGCTCTTGCCAGAAATCTATTTTGTATGAGTTACAACACACTGAGGGAGCCTGCCAGTGGCCTAAAGTCTCCCCACATTCCCTGTCACTCTTCTTTTATTTAAAAAGATGCCCTTTGCAAAAAGAACACAGTAGTGAGGCGTGAAGAGAACAAGGTGGTTACAATTTGTCTTCGCACAACTATGTTGTGTTATCATGTGAACAAAACAAAATATGTCACATAATAACCATTAAGACCATCTCCATAATGGGCAACCCCATCTAATGAGGAAATACCAAGAAGGGACAGTGTTAGTTAAATCATCTAATGTCAATATTAGCCAGCTAATGAAGAACATCAATGACGAAGCATGGTGTAATAAATGAGCTTCACTTATATCATTTTTTTTTCCCTTTGGAAAAATCTCTGCGAACTAATTTAGTTTGTCCGTTAATCTGATAAACCTGTTTACGTTAATTGAAGTTGGTGCCATTGACCGTATATAAAGATGAACCCCCACCCTCCCCAATTATTGCTAATAGAGTCTTAGAGTCTAGTAATTTTACCACTTAGGACTGTAACACATTTTATATACTGTTCAGTGTACACCAGCACAATTACACAAAATCCAAACCTAAACTACAAAACAGGATTTTTTTGGATGAAGGATCAAAGAGCAACAAGAATTTTTGACATGAACACACATTATAGTTGATCTTTGACTGCGCTCAGTTTCTGATCAATGTGTACACAATAACGCATATATCGTAAAGAGACACTTGAGCCCACACTAATGTAGATGTAAATGTCAAAGGTCCCCTCTCTGAATCATCTCTTTTATGATTGAAAATTAAACTTGAATTTCAAATGGATTCATCTCATGAAAAATGTCACATTCCGTGTGTGTGATGATTAATATTCAGTGAGATTTCAAGAGGGCTGTCATTTAGAAAGGCTGAGAGTGTGTGTGCGTGTTTGTGTGTGAGTTCCATAATTCTACTCTACTCTCTTCCATCAACTTCACCTTTACTTTTATTCCCTTTCCATTGTTTTGTCTCTCCACTTCTTTCCTGTCCTCCCCTCTACTTCCTATCCTTTTATCCTGACTTCACTTTCAGATGGAAATTAGACCTTTAGAAAGTGCCAGAGAGTGAAAGTAAGAGGGAGATGGTGCGCTGAAATCTTTTGCACGCAATCAGGTATATGTGTGCATCCATGCCCATTTCTGAAAGCTGATGTGTGTCTCTGTGTGAGCACATTTAAATATTTACAGCCCTCAGAGGAGTGTGAAGTGTGCTAACAGGACCACGCATCCATGGAGAAAGAACAAGAGAGAGAGAGGGTGAGGGAAAGAGAGAGAGAGAGAGAGAGAGAGAGAGAGACTCCAAGCAGTGGAGCTCATACACTGTTCAAACTGACAGAAGCTATCTAAATCAACAATGTCAGGTGAAGTAAGGAAGTGCATGGTGGAAGGAGAGGACGATGTACTGAGAGAAGGAGGCGGAGAGAATTGTTTTTGGAAAAAGTAGGCTACGTGTCTGTAACATTACTATCTTCACATCATTTTCAAACTCCTTGAATCTCTAGGTATACTCATTGTTCAACAGGTCAGCCCTCTAGGCTGTTTCTTTCACACAAGCAGTTTGTTTGATGCTCAATATTTTCTTCTCATGTGGCCCACTTATTAAATGTGTTAGGTACTATCTTATTGCCTCTAAATTCAAATGAGTGAACTACTCTCTGATTATGAAGTCTCATCTCTTTGCGTTTGAAAGTAGCTACTTTCACTTCTCATAGTACGAAAGCACAGCTGTGACTAATAATAATAATAATAATAATGTCTTTGTCCTTTTCAATGCATCAATAAGCCACGACAGTGTGACAATAAGAAGGCATGTAAACAACCAGGAGGCATGGTGTCAGGGCTGCACCTTGTTCGATTCATATGAGATAAAATATCTGATTCAATCTGTTGAATTTGATATACATAGGGTTAAAACTATATCTGTCAGACGAATAGAGTGGTGAAAAGGGACATTATAGAAATCCTATTAAAAGTGTAATGGCAATACTCAGTAATGCAAATTTTTTCTCAAAAACTGGACTTTCAAATTGTCAGTATTACAACACTTTTAAGCTCCTTTTAAAACCTCTGAGGTTTTGTTGATTTTGGCGACCCCTAGTTGACAAAATGGGTATGATTTATCTCTTGCTGATGTTCTTTTGTAGAAATGTGTACATTAGGGGTGTTTTGCAATGAGATAATCAATCTGTTTTTGTTAAAATGTATAACGTGCCACTTTCAATGAATCTTTGGTGACTTTTAAAAAGAAGACAGGCTGGTTTGGCAGTGTTTGTTGTTTATAGCCTCGTCTGAGACCTCCCCCCACCGACAGCACTTTCAGGCACTTTATAAAAGAATATTAATTTCAGAATGGTCACTACCTGCTTAAAACTCTTCACAGGAGCTTTGAATGGGACTAAGTGCATAATGATAAAAAAGAGGAGGAAGTTCAAACATCCACATTAACCTATGCAACAGCCGTCAACGCAGATGTGATACACAAAAAAAACTCTGAGGCTTGACAGAGAACAAGCCCTTGTCCCAGTTAACAAAGAACATCGCTCACACTATAAAAAAAAATCCCAAATCCCCTTGCCCCATATTTTATCAAGTAAAAAAAAAAAAAAGTCAACATCACGCCACCAGCAAGGCCACTGTTCCATTTAGCTAAATAAAAAAGCTGAAAGCCCTTGGCCTATTTTTTCAATGTTTAACACAGCCATAAAGAGTTTGTACCTATTACTTTCATTCCCAAGGACCCCTGGCGTGTTCCAGGGAGTCCCTCGGCACATGGAGGATTAGTTTAATCTCACGATCACTCACTTAAAGATAGCACTTTAAGAAAGAGTGCTAAATAACTTTCTCTCAGAGGCTTTAATTCTCCATGCACCAACGGCGAAAACCTTCTGAAGTGGAGATTCAACTACAGGGTGGCAAATATTGGCAATGAAACATGACAAACTCTCCCTGGAAATGACTGTTCAGTTTATGTATGTATGTATTTTTTTAATTCCTTTTACTATTATTTCCTTTCCTTGCAGCTAGGGGGCGTTCATGGTTTACTGCTAACTTACATTCCTCTGCTGTGTTTGTCTTGGTTCATCTCGTCGACGCGTCACGTGACAACGACGAGGCAACAGAGGAGGAAGAAGAAAACAAGACAGCTGTCCAAAAACACAACACACCCCTGCATCTCTCCCTTTACAGAGAGGTTAGACTTGACTGAATACTGCTGAAATTGCAGTGCGAAATTGAGGTACTGGTATTTATAAAATGTTGTGTCTTGCTGATATGAATTTGAAAACATTTGTTAACATTGCTTATGGCTGACTTGGGCTGTTATCTACAGTCTGTTATCTTGCCTTAAAACTACTTGGTCATAGTAGCTAAGCTTATATAATATAATACTGGTAACCTAAAACTTAGACAAGGCCTTTTCATTCAGCCTTCTCAAACACGTTCTCAGTCATCTCCATCTAAAAGCTTGTTTGCATTCTTCTGCTTAGACAGACATAACTAATAGGCCACATGGACTAAGTAGACTGGATCCATATAGAAATGACTTTTATGGAAGAATTTTTATTAGTTTATATTTCCAGACTTTCTTTTATACTTGTATAGATAAAGAGTGGACCAAATGTCGTGCCATGTTTGATCCATGTGCCACTGTTTGAATAGGTCTGCAATAATTGAACGACACTATTGTTCTAGCTGAATTTGTTTGTTTTCCTTCTGCTTACCTGCCCTGTAGCATTGTGTCTCTGTTTCTGTCCTCCCTCAGATGCTGAGATGATTGGGAAAACAAAATGCTTCGTCTCTGACATCACCAACGCAGATGTGACCATCATGGGCCAGCTGTTTTCATCCGAAGGAGAGCTCTCTCTGGTTAATGATGCAATTGGGTCGCTCCTCTACAATGCAATGTTGGAAGGTGGCGCCGTGCCCGACCTTGGCGTTGTTCACCCTCTCCTCCTCGCCAGTCACGGCGCCGACTCCCAGGGCCGCCTTCGGGAACAACTGCGACAGGTGAACACGCTGCACTATTACAACATATCTAAAGGGATGACGACGATGCTGCATAAAAGAAAAGCACGGACGAGACGAAGACTGGCTTTTTCGAAGCATCAGGTTATTTCTTCCTGCTGATACAGGCTGTGTGGTTAAACTGCTTATTGATTTCACCTTTAAAACCGGCCAGTCATGAAGTGCGGATGGAGATAAACACGAGCGGGAAGAAAGATGTTGTTGCCTTGAGACAGTTAACAAAAGAGCAACTGTGCAAAATGAGGCAGCACTGAGGGTTAGAAATGTAGTCCTGTTGGGGATTATAAAGAGTAAACAAATCAATACAAGGGCCTAGAAGAGCAATGTGATGACAACAAAATGCACTTGTCCTTAAATAAGAAGAGAGGGAAGCAATTTACTCGCTAAGCATTTGTATTTTATTGAGACAGATGCTGAGAGAAAAGTTCGGCATGCCGTCAACGTTTCTGTTGTTTCTTGTCACCAAGCTGCAGGGTGACATTGGGAACAAGGCACCCAGCTACCTTAAGGATCTGATTAGCAGATTGTCGACCTTCTCAGATGAGCCACGCGTGGCCGGCCTGGTGGGATTAGTGGTTTCTATGGTAATGGATATGGCCTACACTTCATCAAAACAGTCATCTGGTGTGAAAGGGAAGTCAGCGGGGTCTTCATCTCGTCAGGTAAGAGCCTGTTTTAAAGAAATATGAAAGGATTTGATGTAATGGTGATGGTAGCAACAGGAAGTTTAGATTATTTGTGACTTCTCTAGATTGTTCCAAATTAAAAATCAGTACAATATCATTTCCATGCTTTTTTTTTTTAACCTCAAGCAGAGAGTGTGGGAGCTCCAGGAGGTGATGGAGGAGTACCTGAAGCGCTGTAGGATCAACCTGAATGACAAAAGCAAGCTGATCCAGGACTCCATCAGACTTGAGGCCCAGCTGAGCCTCACCCTCACACAACTGAAGACCTGTCTGCTGGCGGGAGACTGCGACTCCAGGTCAGAGAATGCAGTAAAGTATCATACAGAAGGGAGACGGGAAGAGATTAAATAATTACTTAAAGTACTTGAATGCAAGTGAGAGCGCAGAAAGACGAGTTAGCTTTTTTTTCTCACTTGGTTTTTTTTTTTTGCCCCTCCAGGTCTCTGAGGCACTGGGCCAGCGGTGCAGCATTTCACACCCAGATGTTGGTTCACCTGGCGGGGTTTGAGGGTCAGGCTGAGCCTCTGTCTGCAAGGGCAGCACTCGAGCAATATAAGGACGACCTCACACAGATCATACCGGCTTACAGGTAATACAGTAGTTGCACTAATTTACCAATTGATGCACTGTGTACACTGAGCGTCTCCTTTGACTGGCATTGCGGGCCCATTGTGTGACTCAACCATTTGAAAACTCCTATGGTTAATATACAAAAACAGTATTTGCACTTAAACCATTAAACAAATGTGTTGAGATATATCAAAAATGTGATGTCTTCCTTTGTTTTGCAATGTTTTCTTATTTCTGAATACAAACTAACAATGTTCTTTACTGTAGCATACAATCATAGTATGTAAATACTTAAAACAAATTTCCTGTTGTGGTAACGTCACATAGACGAGGTATTTCAAGATGCCTTTTAAAACGTACCACATGTGGAAACCAGAGCTGCACATGGCTGTCTACAATGAGATCAGCTCTCTGGTTTAGTTTAAAGAGCCCATATTATGCCCTTCTTGGGGTTTGTATATTTAATCTATGTACCTACTTTTGTACGTTCACAATAGCTAAAGTCTGAAAAAAGTGTCTGTTTTCATGTACTGCTCCTCCTTGCTCCCTCTACTCTCTGAGTCCGTCAGCTACACTCTGTTGAGCCCACACAGTTAGACCCCACGTGGGCCAAGTCTGCTCTGATTGGTCTGCCGATCCGCTCTGTCGTTATTGGTCAGTTGCTCAGCACGCGTCTCGGAAATTTCAACATGAGCTGCAGGGTTTGCCACAACGAGCCAATGGACTTAGATCAGTGATCTCACACTGACAATGAAGCCGCACTGACACATTTTTATCGAGGGGGGGCTAGAACCGAGTGTTACATGCGGCTAATGCTACAGCTAACAGGAGGACGTAGGAGAAGCCGCGTTTCCACGGACTTTGAATTTTTGCACATAGATGTGCCTAAACATGCACAGGACACTTGGAAAACACACTAAAGAGCATATAAAACCAGAAAAAGCATAATATGGGACCTTTAAACACGAAATGAAATATAACTGTCTGACTGTGTGTAAAGTCTGAAACTTAGAGCTAAAAAAAAATCACTCGGGGTAAAAGCTGCAATCAGGATCATAATTGAAGCATATGGGTAAAAAAAACCAACAGTTTCATTAATGGATTGTCAAACTTTTTTTCCACTCAGGAACATCTCATCCCTGTGCTACTGTAATGATGAATCTAAAAAACATGCATTTATTTAGGACTAAGAAGCTGAGTGTTAAAGTGCCACATATGACGACACATTCACTTTTAAGTGACATAGTTTAGGGGGGAAAAAAGGTGATTAAAAAATGAACTGATTGAAACTTTCTTCATGCCCCCTCCCCTCCCTCTCCTGTCATTTCAGGCGATATAAGTCAAATACAGTGTGTGTTGTGAAATGTCATGGGGGCCTCCTGGCATCATGTGACCCGTCCAGTGAGTTGCCAGAGGAGGGATCCATGACAGGACTCACTGTGACAGACAGAGAGACAGGAAAGAGTGTGACCATCCCTCTGTCAGATATGGAGGCAGAGACAGGTAGACTTTATTGACCTAAACAAAAATAGCTGGTTCCTTTTTCAGTCGACATGCATTTAACTGATCTTTGTTGAACAGGGGGAAGAAATGGAGGGTCTATGTCTGATAAAACCTCTGCAATCGAACCCTTCCACATTAACCTGGACCTGATCACCTCAGATCAGTACGCCCAGGCATACCTGGACCGTCTGTTCTCTGATAAAGGACCCGTGGCAGAGCTGGAGAACTACTTTATGAAGGCTAGTGACAATCTGAGAACGTTGACAACTAAACTAGCATGTAAAAACAAGACAGAGGTGAGCAACGGGTCGCAAACGAGTGATGGAGCGCATCTTGTAGACCGGGCAGAGGGCATGGCTGGAGTCCAAAGAGAGGATAGAGGCACAGGAGGTACAGAAAGGAAAAAAGGAGGGAGCAGAAGACAAGAGGAGACGGAGGAATGCAAGCGGAGAGATGAGAGTTTGCAGCTGAGTATTGTGGAGACACAGCCTGATGACAGCGTTGCTCAAAGTCTTCATACTACAACAAGTACATGAACGGGACATTGTCAGTCATAATCACAGTTATTGATTGAAGAGAAACATTAAACACCAATCAAATAAATAAAATGTGTACAAAGTTGTATTAGTATTGTATTAAATCTTTTTTCCCCCTCTGGTTTATTGGGCAGGGACAGATGCAGTATACATGGAGAACTGAATAACAATTTTCTGATGCACAGCACCAAAGCATTTACAGCTAATCAATCAATCAATCAATCAATCAAGCTTTATTTATATAGCACCTTTAATAAAAATCAAGCAACTGAAAAAAACACAAGCAAGAAATGAATATAAAATAGTGACAAAACAGAACAAACAGAAATGGACTTAGAAGTAGGTATGTCTTTGGTTTATGTTTACAAGTATCAATATTTTCAGCTCGTCTCAGATCCTCTAGCAGACTGTTCCAGCGCCTCGGAGCGTAGTGGCTGAAAGCAGCGCCATCAAATGTTTCTGTTTTACTCTGTGGGACAACTCAAAGAGAAGAGCCAGAGGATCTGAGGGGCCGTCCTGGCTCGTAAACTAAAAGCATCTCTGAGATGTAGTCTGCTGCAAGGCCTTAAAGACTATTCAAATTATTTTTAAAAGTCAATAGGAAAACTTGCAGGCAGCCCGTGTAAAGATTTGAAAATTGGTGTAATGTGTGCTTTTCTTCTGGTCTTTGTAAGCACTCGTGCGGCAGTGTTTTTAATAAATTGCAGGTAATTTACTGCATTCTTTGGTAGAGCAGAAAGGAGAGCGTTACAATAGTCTAGTAGGCTATGCTAATGTCTTATGCCTGTCCCTGAAAAGGCCTTCAATATAAAATACACAACATGTGATAAAAAATACATGGAGAACATGCTTACAGAAAGATCTAATCTATGTTACATTTGTTTGACAGTTGTAAAAAGTTTTGCATGCACATATGCAGATACACCACACCAAAGCCTATACAAACCTACACAACCACATACATATGCACACACAGAAATGTACAGCTTTAATCATGGAAGTTAAGCTATCTTTCTCAGAATACCCCGTCCCCTCCCTTGGCTCCTTGTTTCTCGAACGTCATTTGCCCTAATATCCCATCATCCCTCCAATCTTGATAATTTAACTTATAAATGTCACAATGAAGGGGTTTGGTTTCATATTAAACTTTGTATATAACATTCAAAAGGTGTCACTCAATTTGTCATTTTTGCTCTATACCAAAATACAAAGAAACAAATATAAAAGTGACAAAATGAAGTAAGAATCATACATCAACGAGAAGAGCTATGGCAATGAAGAGACAAGTGTACACTACGGAAGGAACTATGTTTATACAGGCTGCAACAAAAGTGTTAATGTGTTGATAAAAAAAAGAATCTCTTCAGATCCCCTTTACAAACGTACGTTCATTTGCACAAGGCTTACATCCTGTCGGATGAAGAAAATTACAAGGTCTGTAGTTACAGTTCTGCAAAAGTATAGCCATAGCAAAAGCTGTTTCCATGGTTACTGTAAGCTGCTGTAACAAAAATGTAGTTATTTTTCAAGCTCACTGTCAGTGTCGGCTTCTAAATGTAAAACTGAGCTTGTAATGACATGAACGTTACGTGAGAATAATGTCATAAAGTAACATACTGAGCTGCCTTTACAAAGATTGTCTTGAGTTATTATGGAACATGGGACTGTTCTCCCCCCCCCCCCACACACACACACACATTTGAAAGCATCAGAGTCCTTGAGTTGGTGGAAAATGGACTCAAATCACTGAGCTGCGATTTGCTCCCAAAGGTCAAGACCATAACAACATGTCCTCCTCCTGCATCCGATCCACTTTCTCCCAGTGTATGTGAATGGAAATGCATGCTGAATAACAGAACATTAAAGTGACAGTCACAGGAGACATGGCACTTTCCTCTAAGTGTTTTTCACTCAGAAAAAAAGGTTGAAAAGATGCTTTTCTTTTTTGCAGCATGACGGTGTGCGATGCAGCAGGTGGGCGGGTGGCACAGCAAGGAGCTTTTGTGTGGTGGAGCTGGCTGTGCTGTGTGAATGTCAAGCCGGAGAAGGAGAGTGTGTGTGGAGTTCAGTGTGTGGGTGTGTTGGCAAGAGTGTGTGAGGAAAAGATGGAGACTGTTTGTGTGTCCGGATTAGAGAGGCAGAAATATGTGGAGAGACATATATGTGTGTGTGTGTGTGTGTGTGTGTGTGTGTGTGTGTGTGTGTGTCTGTGTGTGTGTGTGTGTGTGTGTGCGTGCGCGTGTGTGTATAAAAAGGAATGTTTGTGAGTTACTTACAGAATGAGTGAATGATGATGGCGCTACATGAAGAGAGATGTAGAGAGCTACAAGTGGTTGGTGTCTTTTTCTTTGTGTGTTTGTATGTCCGGTCTCGCTAGCTACCGATGAGTCACACTTCACGACTCCAATTACTGCTCTCTGCTCCGCTAATGCTGTCTGATTGGTGTTATTAGTCTCTCGCTCTTTTTCTCTCTTCCTCAATCTCTTTTTCACCCCCTAGCTATCAGCCTGGTGTGATTTGATTATACACTGTAATGTTACTCTGACTGGTTGTATATGGAAAACAGTTCATGTACACCAATTGGCAGCGTATATAAAAATGTGCATTTGTTTGCATACAGCTATCTCTGCCCATGTCATTTTTTCACCTTCTTGTAGTGTTTTCCTTTAAATATTCTTTCTGTACTTAATTTTTTTTAACTTTAAAAGAGTGTTTCTAAAGCTTGTTTTCCAATTCAGAAAGCCACATCATTCTCTCTCCCTGTAAAACCTTTCAAATGTCTAAAGACTCATCCTGCATTCTGGGGTGTTTACTCATTTTAAAACAATTAAAAATCTTTGTCGAGGCTAACGGTTCAATCAAATTCATCCGAAGTTTATATCCCACCTTCTAGCTTCTAGATCTTCGTTTCAGTTAAAGAGTAGGTCATGACATGACAATTCTACTCTGGAAGTTTCCTTTCCCGGGAAGTTATTAAAGTTATTACCCCCAACTGCCAACCTTATGGACAACACTTATTTTTTTGCATTCCCTCTCTCCCCTCTCTAGCTTTATTCAGAATGTTTGTGTTTACATTGTTATCAGTGTCTGTGTCTCTGCTTGTATGCTACAGCCTGTTGTGGTGAAGGCGTTGCCGGGGTAACAAAATTGCCACAGTAACTCAACATCATCATGCCGCCTACAGCCTCTCAGCAGAGAACAGATGCTGACACAGAGTAACCCACTGTCAAGAGTGTGTGTGTGTGTGTGTGTGTGTGTGTGTGTGTGTGTGTGTGTGTGTGTGTGTGTGTGTGTGTGTGTGTGCATTGTAGATAACACAAGTTTTTATCAGTTAATGGGTTAGTGTGTAATCTTATCTGTGATTTGATACTATGTTTAAGTGTGCATGTGTTTCTCCATTTCTGGAGATGTTTTCAAGTGAAACAGAGGAGCATATGGTCATCAACTTCTGGCAAGACATAGGGTAACAGGAAAGCAACACTAAAATAATTCTGAATGACAAAAATAGCAGCAGACATGACTGAGAGTGCTAAGGCTCAGGCCGAGCATGCACTGTGGAAATAGAGACTCTTTCTTACACGATTCTTGAGGAGCACGACTGATTTTGAAGAGGGGCCGAAAAAGTAGTCGTAAAAGCTTTGAGATTGATTCCTCACCTTCAAGTCAGCCTTTGGATACAAGTTTTTTTTTTTTCCAAGATAAAAGTAACTTTCACAGACTTGAAACTTGCCTTAGATGGACAATCAGTCCAGTGGAAGTTCCAACATGACCGTCTGTGAGACAGAACTTTTGGTGTGTTCATGAACACTTCAAAATCTGTTAGATTTGTGTCGTTTGTGTTGTCAAGAAAAAAAAAGCTTTACTAATTATTTGGTTATCTCTTTAGCATTAGCTGTCAAATAGTGGCAGAATCAGAAGCAGTTTGTATTTTGCTAAATTTGTTGGCAAAATACAAGGAATTTGACTTCAGTAGTGAATTTTAAGCACAATGCTAAAATTGTCCCAAATACAAAGTTAAAAGGTAAGTGGTGAGCTATTTTTTGAGTTAGGTGCACTCCATTTACAAAATAAATATCTGTTTCATAAAGCTCATAATTCAAAATATACAAACACATTCAGACTTTGATTATCATTTTAAATGAACTGTATAAATGGCTTTCATTTATGATCTAAAGTAAGAAAAATGCATGTGTATTTATATGCTGCATAGAAAAGCTTTATCCATGAAGCATTCAGTGCTTGTTTAAAGGCCAAATGTTGTGTAGTCCCCTGGCACATTGACAACAACAGTGTCCAGAACGTAGTTGACCTCTAATGCATTAATGCTGGCGCACACACAGGAAACACACGCCAGATCTGATGGTGAGTTCATGCTCTGGTATTTCCCTGACATTTAATTTCAATCTGTTACATGTGTGTAGAACACCTGCTCTAACATGGCTACACAAACACACACACGCACACACACACACAGTATGTGAAAGTACTATTAGTCAGTGAGTCAAGCCAGCCAAACATATATTATTATTTATTACTTCTTTGTTATATATTATGTGTCTGTGTGTCTTTAGCACTTGGAGTAGGAAGCTTCGGTCTCTTTATTAAAATTAACCTCCTGTCCTGTCTAGACATGGAGATATCCCCCATCCTGTTCTTCTTGACTTTATACCACATAAATGGTTTGGTAAGAAAAAGAGCGTCATTAATCCAAGAAAATGCAGATAACAAATATATCCTGATATTTTTTTCTTTGGTAATCCTTCGGCTTCTCTGAAACATTTAGAGAGGCTGTTCCCAAAATTGAGCATAATAAACCACATACATGCAGCCTACAGAAAAGGAAAAAACAGTAATTTTAACCACGTGCACAACATAAGTCTGGATCGTTGTATGTATCGTTATCTATATCAATAAATACCATTTCCTTTTGTTAACATTCCAAATAATTTGAGACTTTGATTCTTGAGGCATACGTCCAGATTTAGAAGGTCATTCATGTGAATTGCATACAATCATTGAGATATAATGAGAGATATATATGTATCGTCGGCATAGCAATGATAAGATATTTCAAGACTACTAAGTTTATAGTCTTGTTCACACAAAACATGATGGGACTAAGATTAGAGCCCTGTGGGACACCAATTACTAATGTTGTGATTGAGACTTAGCAGAAGGACATCATAGTCAACTATATAATGTGTCTTTCATCAGTTACCATAAAGCTGTCCAAATCTTGCGGCTCTTTAGATAGTACAGAAACTTATATAATTCAAGACGGAAAAGCAATACTAACCAAATGTTTTTTTGTTTTTTTTACCAGGTTGATGTGTTGAAGTTGTAGTTTTTAATTAACTTATGGGCAAAAATGTTGGCCATTGGAATCTTGTCATTACATTTGAAGACAGTCCTTCCTGGATGTTTGAAAAAATAGTCCTATTAAGCAGTCTGTGCAGTGCACAAGTCTGGCAAGTTATTGTTATTCCAGTGCTGTCCAAGCTGTCATCCTCGACCTCTGAAAGAGGCTGAATAATGTCTGAGTCAGAGACAGAAATAAAGCACAAAGAATAAACAAGTATACAAGGGGTATATGTGGACAAAATCGATGTCTTGACACTGAAACAATGTTATATTGACATACTGAAACATAAAGAGTCAGTGTGCATCATCTTGTTATTCTAGCTGAACACCCTCCCCACTTGAGGTCCTATAGAGTTAATGTATGTTTTTTTTTTTTACCTTATGACCAGCCCAATAGATAGGCATTAGATATAGAAAGTTTATAGACAATCAGACATGCACCAAGGTACATAAAATCAGTTTTCTTTGCCATAAAACAGTCTTTGTGCTAAGGAAAGCTCAAACAAATCCTGGAACACCTCTTGGCTAAACACAGAAGGAAATTAATGTCAATCTTGTTATCTAATTAGGTTAGAAGACATATTCCCAATATATCCCAGTGTTGCTTAAAGGCCTGCTCACACACCCAATTGTTTTCAGTTATCTTGTTTGCATAGATTCATGAGTTTGGACAGAATTGTGCTTGAACTTAAGTAGGGATATTGAGCACCATACACCAAGAAGAATGCTAAAGACGGTGTAATTTCCCCTTCTTAAAGGGGGTAAACAATTAAAGAAAGTAAACAATTGTATATTGTATTCGTCCAAAGTCTGAGTCTAATGGTTCTCATATGGCAAAATAGGAACATAAGCATCTATATTTTAATATTTTCTCAAAGAGAAATGATAGGGTTCCTTGTGATTTCTATGAATGTGTCATTGATCATTCTTCTGACATGATGATTAAGTCAACGCTCCTGTGATGTTGAACAAGTGAGTGTAAGGATTTTGTGTTATGGGCGCTATAAATAGCTACAGTGAAAAAAACAACAACTTTAAAATGTGTGTATGGGCATTTTTAGCTTCTTTTATGAGTGATTAAGTTAGTTTTTGCCCTCAGAACCTCAGAACTTGACATTTTATTGAACATACTCACTTGCATACAGCTGTACAGTATATTGGTGGAGGTTTTTTTGCAAGGAGTTTTAATTAAGAGTCTGCACAGATGTGAATGAACCCAATGTGGTTAAAATGATCCTCTTGTATCTCACTAAGTGGTTTTCTTCAATTTGAAAGCTAACACAGACTTTCTGGCATTAAGCCGTGTTTAGGTGCAACCATGCAAAAACATTAGCGTCATAAATTACATATTGCCCAACATGCAAACCTGCAAGCAGAGGTTGTCTAGGCGTGTACCTGTCAGGAAAAGGCATGTCATAAAAAGGATTTAAAAAAAAAAAAAAAAAAGAGTACACAAAAAACAACAGCTTAAAACAAACTGCGAAAGAAATTAATTTAACATGTACATTCTGCATGCAGTAAACATCACAAAAAGCAACATTTCACACATGTGTATGCAGTTCAAATGCACAAAAACTATCAAAACTTTATTATAATAGAATCAAAATGTTCTCTTTACACGAACAAGGTTTTAATTAAAATGGAAAGCATCCATTACTCTTTCACCCAGAGACTAGACATCATCTATCATAGTGGCAGCATGGCAGGAGGAGGAGAAGCAAACACAACTCTTCCATCTGTCGGATGTTATATAACTTTAAAGGCTCTCTGGACTGCTCTGCAACTTTTGATTCATACCCACACCATTTACGATTTCTTTAAAAGCTTTGCAGGTTTTATTTTCACAACCTCAACACTAAAATGAACAAGGAAGGTTGGCCAGAAGTGAAATCTTATTCTTCTTTTCTTTTCCTTTTCTTCCATTCTTCTTTTTGTTCTCCTTTCCTTTCTCTTCCTTTTTCAAGGTAATCCTGGAAGGTCACTGTCCAGTTAATACGTTTAGAAGCATATTTTAGAGTTTAGAGTTTAGAGATTGTTTTTTTTTTCCTATCCTCCTCTGGTTTACTTTTAAATTCAAGCCTTTATCAGATTATGTCAAGAAATTGACCATCTAAGCAAAAACTTACACAACTGACATATGGGCAGAAATTAGATTTGCTTGATATTTGCATTTGTATCATAGACTGTAGAAGTGTATCAGTAAAAGCATGACATTGTTTACAGATGGCTATCCGTATGAATACTATTTGATGTTTCTATCAATCTGCCGTCACAAAGCTGTGACAGAACCTGTGATTGTAAAAGAAACAGGTGTGTCCAATCAGCTAATGCATGCAGCTTCATTCATTGTTGTTAACCAGCTCTGCGCTCCATTAACGCACACCAAGGACTAAATATACTTATAACCCCCAGATCTTTACAGTGTTGTACTGTAGCTTGAAATGAGCGGCTGCTGTTTCATGTCTAATAGGATTTCCTGAAAAAACACAGGACATCTCATTGAGTGGCTGGGGCTCGGTTGGTAGAGTCGGTCGTCTCTCAACTGGAAGGCTGGGGGTTCGATCCCAGCTCCTGCAGCTACATGTCCGGTGTGTCCTTGGACAAGACACTAAACCCCAAGCTGCTCCCCCTGCTTTGTCTTAGCGTATGAATGTGTATGAATGGGATTAGTTACTTCTGATGGTCACTTTACACAGCAACCTCTACCAAAGTGTGTATAAGTGGGTGTGAATGGGAAGGTGTGACCTACGGTGTAAGCGATTTGAAAAGAAGACTTGAAAAGAAGACTTGAAAAGCACCCTTTAATTGCCCCTCAGGGACAAATAAAGTTCCTTTGAATTGAATTGAATTGAAACAACCTCAAGTCCATTCACCATTTACTGTATCATTGTTAATTGCAAACACAAAGGACAGGCTATATAGATAAAACTTAAATGAAAGATTACACATTCGTTACAGCATGTATATAAGATATAAATAAAAACTAATAATTAAATATACGAGGCCCTGATGGCTAGCAGTTAGGTCATTTATATATGGAGGTTGTTGATCTCCAGACGGGTGAAATCTAATGGGACAGTAAATTAATTCACAATTAGGGTAATGATCAAAGGTGAATAAGTAGAATAATAAAACATAACAAATCTGATAACAAGTATTATTTCATTGTAGATCTTTTTTTTGCTAAATACCTTTGTTTATTTTTCAGAGTCCTTGTTGTCAATTTTCTGCTATTATTGGCAGTAAAGGTCCTGTAATAACTTCATTGAAAGCTTAGCTGTTTTTTTCTATAACAGTGTCCCAGTAACTCATGATAGAACAGCAATGAGCCAGCATTAGCAGAACCAGACAACCTGAAATCCAGACAAGCTTAATAGCATTCAGCTAGCGAGGTAGAGCCACATCTATTGATTGAGTTGGTGAACCAAAGTGATAGGATGTGAGTAAAAACTAGACTTACATTATTCAGCAGAAGAGAAAAATAAAGAACTTGATATATTCTACACAGCTCTACATGGCAAGGACCACTTGAAATTATTAAGTGTAATAATATTTACAGATTTTTTTTTATTTTAGATCATTACTATTAAAATGACCTTGATGCATTTATACAGGCCTAATGCATGCTGAAATTTGTCTTTATCTTGCACTGGCTCTAAAGCTTCAGATTGATGGGACTTAATTGCACAACCAGACAATCATCCACCCACACCCTTATTACACAAATGAACAACCAACAATAAAACATGTTTTGTGCGGAAATTATCACTTAACTGTTTTGACTCTTTGATGAATAGAGAAATTAGCTGAAAAGGTGTGAATAAGAAGGCAAATGTTGAGTTTCCTGTGCAATGCTTCACATATGCAATAGCAATCAAGAACAAAAGTTGCCACTCAGAACTAAGGCTGTGTATTTTTAGAAAAATAAAAACTCAATTTTACCCTGTTTAATGTATTTAGATCTGATATGATACAGAGAGCAGAATTAATAATTACATTTGTCCAACATTATTTTCTCTCTAATTTGTCACTCCTTTGGGTAAAAAGAAGCACTTCTTTTAATATGAATGGAAAATGTATCCCTGTGATTTTTCTCGAACAAAATGATAGGTTGACATATGTTCAAGAGAGAAAACTGGCGTTTGTTATTTCTTAATGATGCCTCAAAACACATAATTAATGGCAGAACAAGCCAGCCAACAGTTAATGAGGTGCCACTCAGGCTCTCATTTTTTCATTGAGCGTCTGAACAATGTAAAAGAAAATGGATGTTTGTTTGTACGGGAGTGTTGATGTCTAATAGAGGGAGCTGACACACTAACACACACAAACACACACACGCTGTTTGTAAGTCCCATTTACTTCTACGTAAATGAAAAGTGGGATAGACATTTGCATTTGCTTTAATAATAAATCTCTCCACACACACACACACACACACACACACACACACACACACACACACACACACACACACACACACACGCACACACATAATCACACACATACGCACGCACACACCCACCCATGCACGCACTCACACACGTATAGAAAGGCAGTGGACTCGCAGAGTCTCTGAAACAGGGTATCCCAAACTTTATTTTATTGGTTTTATCAGAAGTACCATGGAGAGCAGTCACAGTTAGTGGCAACACACATACAACAACTTTCCTCCTATCAGTTTGTGTTCAACAAAAATTATTAATAAAAAAAACATTTAACACACGCACACAAACACACAGAGGACAGTGGCAAACAAAATAAACGTTCATAATTACCAACATTATAACTGTTGCGGTTATTATTCCATTAGAAAAAAAAACAAAACACACCAAATCAAGTTGAAAAACATGAATCTCTGACTACACCCTGTGAAAGTGAAGAAAAAGAAAGAAAGAAAGAACAAGATGGAAAAAAGTGCTGAAGCTAAGAGAGGGATTAAAAAAAGAAAGATAGAAGAAAAATATGGCATACAGTTTCAAATCAGACAGATGGAGACAGATGATCCTGTAAGAGACTCAGACAGATGGGGACATAGACAAATAAGCTGTACTTAACCATGGAGGATATACATGTAAGGAGAATACGAGCAGGTATGGTGAGTCAATTGATATGCAGCCAGACGGATGAACAGAAAAAGTGACACTGTCAAAAGCTGTTTTAAAAAAGACTACCAAAAGCCCACCCAAAACGCCCCACAAAGAAGAGGAGACGAGGATGGGAAGAAAGCTGACAAGAAAAAAAAAAAGATAATAGAGGGTAGCCAGATGAGGAGTGAGGAGAAAGAGCAAAGCAGAGAGAGAGAGAGAGAGAGAGAGAGAGAGAGAGAGAGAGAGAAAGAAAGAGAAAACCAGCTTGAAGCAAACTACAACTTCTCCAAAAAGGCAATATATGTCATTCTTGAGTGTAGTGAGCGTTTTTGTTACCTTTAAATAAATAAGTAGCATTAACTCTCTATGGTTAGCGTGATGGCCATACAGTCCACCTCACTTATAACACTGTACAGTATATACACTATATTATTATTATTATAATTATAATTATTTCTTTAATGACAAAATAACCTTTAGATGTACATACAGTATTCCTCACCCTCTGTCAGAGAATACAGCCACAGTATTAGAAGTAGCAAGCAGTGTATTTTTTTTGTACAAATAACCCATGCAACTTCCGTATAGATTATTGATTTAAGATACATAACTCCTTTAAGATCTCATCTTTCATTCAATAACAGCAGATATTGCCTTTTTAACAAAAAAAACTTAATTAATTTATCAGTAATGTGCAAGTTATTTCAAAACAAAAGACGACTTTTGTCTTCGTTTAAATTAAAACATACTGTTTTTAAGCTCTACATACATTAAAAAAAACGTAACTGAACAGAATATAAAGATGAACAGAAAACCTGAATCTGTACAACATTCTAACCATTATTTTGTCAACACCAGGGGAATGGGATACGAGTCTCTAATACTATATACAGACATGTTATCATTCATGCACAGTGTCAACAAGTAGCACATTGACATTCCAAAATATGGAAAACGTGGCAAAGGGAGACAAAGGGTCGAAAAGGGAATTTTTAGGGGGAAAAAGGAGAGAAGAAAAGACGAAACAAAAGGATTGCTGCCTGTTTTTGGTTGCTTTAGCAGCAGAAAAGGAAAGACAGAGAAAGCGGGGGAAGAGACACAGAGGGGCAGAGAGACACCATAACAATACACATGCTGGGCAGGAGAAGTCCATTTCAATCTCACTGACCCAGAAATCAAGGTATGGCTGTAACTTCATCTTTTTTTTATCTTTAATTTCATCCTCTTCCTACTCATCTTCTCCTCCATCCTCCTCTTATCACCGTCCGTTTACATTATACTCATTAAATGTCACTTTAAGGGTGGAGAATAGCTCTGGCAATGTTTTTTTCCCCCAACGTCTCAGAATGACGTTGCTCAGCGTGTACCAACAGGGTTGTTTATCCTTCCTTTCTTTCACTTGTTTTTTTTCTCCCTGTCTGTTTGCTGTTGCAGTCACTTATTCCTCAGTCTGTCAGACAGTCAGTTAAGAAGTAAACGAGGCAACGAAAAACACAGCATTGATCTTTACATCAGAAGCAACATTGCAAATGGTTCACAACTGATTCAACACCATTGTATTTTTTTTTCAACGTACGACATTATTATTGTGAACATCAGAGTCCAAAAAGAACCTGTTATTGTTGTTGTTGTTTACATCTGAAGCAAGTTTTTCCGACAAAACAATGCAGTAGCCGTTTCACACAAGCAACAGGAACCAGTGCAATACTTTTCCTTCAATTTTTAGACTTTGTGAACCTTTTAAAACCCCAGTATAGAAGAATAAAAAACATCTACCTTAGTCTACAGCTCATTTATGTACTCCTTGCTTGCTCTTAGTGTTCTATTTACAGCGGTGGCCTGGCTAACCTTTGACCCTTCAAACCTCAAAAGCTCAAACCAAGGTAGGAAGCTATATTCAACTGCTATTGTGATCCCCTTGTCTGGAGAAATAAGTTAAGTAGAGAAATAACTTGGTTTGGTACTTACAATTGTTGCAGGTAAAGAGGGCAAAATTGCTAGTTGATGATAGCCAGTTTTTAGCTTCCAACCTTGGTCCAAACCCCATGGGGTTTTGAACAGCTGTCGTTAATCTGCAGTATGCTTCACATCAGACTAGCTTCTAAGTCAAGGTCAATACACTGAAAGAGGTGGTGACACAAAGTAGGTGTAGCAAAAGAAGTAGCTCATATCAATACAAAATGTTGGCTTCTGGAAAATTTGTGCGGCAAACTAATGTGATCCAACAACTACACTACTGCAAGCTTTTCATTCCTGCACTAGTTCACTCTGACAAATTAGGCAGCAGGCACACTTTTAAGTAAATCCAACATGACTAAGCAATCTCAAAGATAATTTATACCCTGTTGAAGTTACTCAAAAAGTGAGGCAAACAGCTTTCACAATGTTATTTCTTCTTCTTTTTTTTTTTTTTGCGCAAGCTAGCATAACTTTTTACAGTGTATAAACCTTAAGCTCCATGCCAGTGAAGAGACAAATGCATAACAAATGTAAATAGAAAGATTCTGGTTAGGTTTAAACAACGACAAGGCATTTTTTGTGTCGGTCTAGAGTGTTAATGAAACATGAATAATATTTGGTGTTTTTTTTAGAAAGATCCATTGGTTAGAAAACCCTTTACAGGTCCGACTGTAAATATTACGTTTTTGATAGAAAGATTTCCCTTTGGCAAAAACAGGGGTAAACTGCCACTCCAAGGCCTTCAAAAGAACAGCTGCTCTAATGAAGAGCCGCACACTGGGTAGAGTTTGGCAAATACAAGTTGTAACTAAACAATCTCATTTTATACCAAGCGTTCAAAGGGTGATTCAACATTAGAGTTCATACCAATCGTTTACTCTTTAAATGGTTCTCTAATAGGCTTTGTTCTCTATAAAACACAGCACTGTATGCTGCAATGTTTATTCAATTGTGAAGTGGACAGATTTCAGGATTCCAAACCATATTGCTGGAACCCTGGTGTTGGACTAGATACTGAAACAATGAATCATTGAGTCAGTCTTAAAGGTTTCCATATTTTGGGTGCATCATTTCAGGAATGAGAAAATGACAAATATATAAATTACTGAAATCAAAGGCTCAAGCCTTTCTATAAAATGTCCTGAAGACATTGGGGATTTGCCAAACTCATCCAATCCACTGCTCTGCTGAGGTCTACTCTCTCACAGGGGTCGAAAGCTGTCTGTGGCAAGGTTTTTGCCAAGTTTGAAATGGATTACAACTAGCCCAGACTACTTACTTTACAGATGACAATTAAATACTACTTATACATCAAGTTAAAAAACACAACATCAGCAGGAAAATTCTGGCCAATTCAGATGCATATTGTATAGTGCCATTTAAGAAACAATGGACATATACAGTAAGTTTTGTGAAAGTTGAGTTCTCTGTGATTTTGGCTGACCAAGTAAAATAGTTAACAGTCTTAAATGTAAACCTCTCTGATAGTCGAGATACAGTAGGCCTGAAGATTTCCACATGTAAGTTTTTAAGCCACTTTTCCATTTTATGTATCTGTATGACTGACTCAGGAAAGATGATTCCCAGAAAATTAGTGTCTGGTAATGTCTGTAAGTTGCTCTTGCAGTTTAGTGTGGTCTATCCGACTACTCCCTAGTTGAATATTTTAGTGTTTATAGAGTCCATGCTCCTGAAAGCACATTTTGACATATGTTTACTAGCTAGCCTATAGAGCCAGACATGGGCATTTAAAAGTCTTAGCTCTTACATGGGATGCATTTTGCCAGCTTTTGCTCTGAAAACATGACAAATAGAGTTTTTAAACATGCTCGTTTTAATGTGTTAATGTTGCATGTTGTTTTTATGAACTATGAAATCCAGCCTTACAGGGCCACTAGATTATCTGCGACTGGCTATACTAGATCCAGATCAATGTAATCCAAACAGAACCTGACAACTCACTTTATGATACAGGTCCCAATGGGGCAATTTCTGGGGGTTGTTTTACTAACAGTTTATCAACTTGGTTATAGATATTCAATGTGCCTATCAGGGGTTATCTACCATAAATTGTATCTGTTTGTGAGACTACTTCTTCACCAGCAGCAAATACTTTTGGACTATATCTTCATCTGATGGCTCCAATATTAAGACTGAAAACTAGCTGCTGAATGGAAAAGTCAATGGTTCATTTCGAAGGCAGGGGTAAAGCTTGGAATAAAGTGTGTTACAGAATACTTCTGGTTGAGCAAACACCTGACCTTAAATGAATAAACAATACCACATAATTTGGGTTAAAGCATTAATGAGCCATATGCCTGAAGGGTAGAAGAAATCAGCAATATTATTATGAGTTGAAGCAGAAGAACATTGCTTTGATGGTTTGGTTTGGAATAAGGCTAATGTATTGGTAGTCCTCATAACCAACTGCAGATTCCAAAAAAAGGGTTAAAAATCTTTATGTAACCTTCTCCAATATTAAGATGTCCCTTGACACTCTGGGTGACAATGTCTTCCAATTAATGTAGCTGTGTTACTGTAAGTAATGTCCTTTCAACTGAGCAGATGGTGTCTTATGTGAAGTAATAACAATCCCTGTTATAGATCTCCCTGAAGACCAATCTATCTGAAGAATTATAAATTGGGTGGTTAGGGATTAGTGGTTGTTTCATAGAAAGCCCTTGAATATTTTGGATTGGTCCACTGACCAGCCAGGTGCTTAAGACACACAGAGATAATGTCTGGAGCTGTTGAGTGAACCATTGGGCATTAATATGAGATAAACAATGACAGATGAAGTTATAAAACAGACATCCTATGAGGTTTCACAGAGGGCGGTACCTAATTTTTTCAAAGTCTATTGCAATGTCACAATTGTCGCATGAAGGTGACAATCCCTTGATGGAAAATCAGTGATTTGAATTCCACAGTTTAAAAAATGAACAAAAATGAACAAGCACAATTAACCTTAGTATTAATGCAATGGTTATTATTTCTCTAACAGTTTTAAACGGTAGAGTGGCCGTTTTGTCTTTTCAGACATGGCCTATTAAAGGTAAAAGCACACTAACCCCTTCTTGATTCAAATCAGACCTTAAATCATTTATATCTACAGTATAAAGCAACAAAGAGAGAGAGGGCCCGTTCAGGAGCGTATGGCATGACCAAGACATTCAGAAGAACCATATTGGAGCTGTTATTTACCTTCAGCTCGTTGTATTTACATTTCTAACCTTCAAAGCATTTTGCTTCATTGAACTTGCCCTCACATAAAATAGTCTGACACGGCTTTTCTACAGACCTGGAGGGTAAGAATCAAAAAGACCTGGAATACGAAAGCATATTCTGTCTCACATAGCGACAGCATAATCAGTCGGGTTTTTTTTCACAGTACTTGACCATCTTCCAACAACGCACGAGCACAGAAACACACTCACACACCAACACGCACACAGTTTGTTGTCATTAAACAGTTGTTGCAATACATCCAGTTTCTTTTGATTGTGTTTTCAGTATAGTCAGGCCATGCATTTACATACTGATACAGATATTAGCTGTTCTTTTTCCATCTCATTGGTGCCTGTAACTGTAGAATGAAGAATGAGCAGCACTACCCCATGTGGATGGGATTTAATGAGATAGTTTGTTTTTGATGCTATGTTTCCGAGGAGTTGTGGTGGTGCGTCTGTCACTTTAACCTTTCGCTTGCTGTCTTCATAAAACTAAATTTTGTTTTTTGTATAGTTGAACCAGCTGGAACAAAGTTGAGGATGTGTTTTATTGGGCTTAAAACAGGGATGGGTTTAAGACAACTTGATTGTTTTAAATTTATATATCGAGACCAAAAAAAATGTATTCCTTAGTTAATTATTTCTTTCAGAGCTTCCTTCTGAGCTTTCTAGCTCCTACGATCTCTACCTCCATGCATCTGTCCTTCCTTCCATTCCGGTTTTAGATGCTTCAATGCATTCCCTCATCTGTACATCCATCCAATCAACCTTCACTCAGTCTATTGCGTAAAGATAGGGAATGATGATCGTTGAGCCTTCATTTCAAAATCCATCCATTTATCCACCTCCCCTTATAGTTTCTCCCTCCATTTTATCCTTCCGTCCTACCCTTATCTTCATCATCTGCTGTTATCTTAGAAGCCTTGGATGTGGCAGTAGGCCTCCAGTGAGGAGAAGAGAATGTAGAGGAGCCACAGACTGAAGAACAGCATGGAGGTCAGGACCTTCGAAGTCCTGGGCCCGCCCAGCTCTCCACCAATCTCTGGCCGCCTTCGGTACATCAGTACGGCAACACAGATGAAGGCAAAGATTGTGAAGAGCGTGACGGAGAAGGCCAGCGTGCCTGGATCCACCTTGAAGTCTTCCCCTCTGCTGTTGTGGTAGATGGCAGCAATGGACCACGCCACCTGTCAAACATCAGCAGAATTTTAAAAAAAACCCAGGACAGAAGCAAATGTTTATAACAATAAGTTTATAGTATGGGAGTACGACAAACACAATAATGAAAACCAGCTTGAATTAATCCATTAATCCTTAAATTAGTACTTACCCCAATGCCCAAGAAAACATTGACAGCATTGGACCCCGTCACATTACCAATGGATGCATCTGCATACTGATCCTGGATAGCAGCTACCTTACTGGCAAAGGTATCTGTGCAAAGAAAGACAAGGAGACAGATTGATTAAATCAAGGCTTGCTTTAAATTTTCCTTCATTACTTGCTTCTGACTGAAATCTGTAAAACAGGAACAAAAACCTTTGGTCCTTCAGCAAAATTTACATGATAATTTCTCCAATTTACATGGTTCTCTTTGAGGAATATAATAGTCAGAAAGTCATGAATGAAATTGTGTGATTGGCTAATTATGCTGGAATAACTTTAAAACAAAAGTCAAACTATGTGGTGTGAGCAGTAATGCCTCTAGTGTGTAATAGATTTAGTGACTCAAGTGAGCTCTGTGGGGACTTTGGCTTGGAAACTAAAGGGTCTCTGTATAATGTCCCGGTAGAGCCCAAAGTATCGAAATTGGTCTGGTTGCTTGAGAGATGCCAGTTCACTTCCTGAGTACTGGCAAAATTCCTTTGGAGCAAAACATATAGAACCCAAACTGCTTTGGGCGCAACCGGTGTGCAGACCCCTCAATCTGACATCTCTCCATTAATGCAAGTCCATAGGTCTTATTTGTGACTGTGTGTATTTTGTAAGATGACAGGCGAACAATGAGAGTGCGTTGAAGTGATATTGGAAAGATGTGGTTATCCGATGAAAACAGCTGTTATCTCGTTTGAAAACCCTTGACAATGACAGCAGGAAATTATGAGTGATCATTCCAGAGAGCAGTAAATACAAAATGGATTAAGAAATAAACTTTGGGTCTTGTCTAAATCTTGTTTATAGAATTACTCCCAGAGTTTAGACAAGATTAAATAATCTGATTGTGGATATGACCCCTACCCTTTCACAACAACCAGATCTGTTATTGAACCACAACACTTTTGCCAAATAAATAGAATGGTTAAAACAGATGTTGCCTTGGCAAAGTAACTTTGGTATGTCCTTCATAATACTAAATGTGCTATACAGTACATTGTGAAATAAGTATAATAGGCTGAATATTCTGAATATTTGGTATAAACAAATTCACACCTGGAGTTGAACACAGTCATTTGTGAGTTGCACGAGAACAAGGTTACCCAAAAGGACCTTCTTGATAAATGCAGAACACTTATAATTATGAATACAGAACACTGTGTAAATCCCGTTTTCCACATTTAAACAGGGAACCTTAAATTAGAAACCAAATCTTTAATCCTGTTACACTGTCTGTCGCTGGCAGCCAGCACAGACCAGATTTGGTCCAAGATCAATAATTTACAAGGCTGAGTCTCAGTTTGCAGGGGCAAACAAATCTTGGCCTGACAACTAATCAGCATGACGCTGCTTAGTCCCCAAATGTTCCCCTGGTTTCGTGCCTGCCAAGCTACAGCAGCTCCACAGGCATGGTCCTCCTAGCGGTACTGAAAGTGTTGAGACCTTGCCAAATCTCGACAATAGGCCCTTCGCTGAGAGCACAATGACTGAGCAAACAGCCAAGTGGTCAGTAAGCACTCTTTTCTCTCCATAATTTCCTTGCCATCTTCCCTTTGTTAGTTATTCATGTTATTTTTCTTTTCTCTGCCAGATATTGTCAGAAAACAACAATAAAAATTGAAAGAGAAAAAGCAAGGGTGTGAAGAAGAAATAGAGAACATGAGTGGAGAAGGTTTTCTTAAATTGGCAGCCAAACTGGTGCTGGAAAAGATGATGATGGGTGTGGCAGACAAGGGTTACGGAGAAGAGAGGCAATGGGCCAAAGAAGAGTCGCGCAAAGATAAATCTCCTCGTACACCTTTCAGCTTCAAGGACAAGCCTGCTGAGAGTGTGCCTGTTTGTGTGTGTGTGTGTGTGTGTGTGTGTGTGTGTATTGAGGCTATTTTTGCATGCCTCTCTGCTTCTTTGCCTTAGTGTGTGTTTCTGTAAGTCTCATGCATGTACACAGTCTATGTGTGTTAGTACCACCCGGTTCCAATCTAATGCCATGCCTCCACCAGCTGGTATAGGCCTGTGCATGTGTGTGTTGTTCATCAATTGCTCTTTCAGAGCTCGTGCGCCTGATTGAGTGGGTGAGTGCGTGGGTGCCTGAATGTTAGGCCTTGGCATGTGTGTGTGCATGTGTGTGAAACAGGTTCCACTCTGCAGCTCCCTCTGAGAGTATTCATCCCTGGAGAGATATCTGCCCTTTTCGTCTGCCTGTCTGTCAATCAACCCGTCTCTCTCTCTCTCTCTCTCTCTCTCTCTCTCTCTCCCTCTCTCTCGCTCCGTCTGCCTCCTCTTCCTCTCTCTTCTGTTCCCTCTTGCCTCTTAAAATGGAAGAACTCACTTGAGGGCATTTATGTGCTCAAGGCAATCTGTCACTCTTTCTGCATGTGTACATTTTTGCCTGGTGGTGGGGATACAGCAAAGATAAAAAAGAAACCTTTAGGAATCATCTTCTTGGGGTATGAATACACACAGGAAAGTTGAATGAGATCTGCAACTTAGCTCTTGGCGAGATCTTCACATTTTAAATTGTTGCACAGTGGAAAATTTGTGTAGATATTGTAGCCAGACAAAAGCTGAAGGGGTACAAACATTTTTACAAATAATCTTCTTTTGAATGTGACCGTGAATGTATTCAAAAGAAGTGTAAATGCAGCCTGATTAGGTTTGTTTGTGAGTAAGTGAAGACAAAAAAGCCAATCAATTTTTTCTTTTTTATCAAAGGTAGTTGGATCAATATGTGAATGCTGTATACCAGAACCAGAAAACAAGTTTTAAACATTGCCATCTTATCTTTCCTGTTTTATGTGCGTTTGCTCCAACATATGTAATGATGGTACATAAAAATATTATTCATTTTCATTTAATTAATGATAATTTTTTCCCTGGTTCAGAAATTGTTCTCAACCTTGACAGGATGTCTACTCATAAAATGTCTCGAATTCTTTGTTGATCTCTAGTAAAGTCTATTTTTAATTTACTTTTAGAACTAAATGTTTAATATGCGACTGTCAATCCAGCAGATTTTGCACTTTTCGTAAACATATTTTATATCTGGTAAATCGATGAGGCTTAGAGGATTTGCCTGAATCCTAAACCATCTAAACCAACCACCATTTTTTCCTCCACTTTATTATTCTCTTTTAAGAGCACAGCTGTTAATGTTTTTTCCCTTTCCTCTACTGTATGTTTGTGTGTGCCGGGGTGTAGTAGTGGGGGGGGGGCTGTTTGTGAGTGCGTATGTGTGTTAGCCTTGGTAACTGTGATAAACGGGGTTAATCAGCATGCTACCAAAGCACAGTGTGTGTTTGGTAATAAGGCTGGGAGCCTTAAAGAAAGACAGAGGCACGTAGTTTCCATTCTGGTAGCTCTCTGCATTGTATGTATCTGTGCATTTCTTGTAAAAGCAATGTGTAATGTTTGTGTGTATGTGCGGTGTATATTTGTGTGCATGTGTGTAAGTCGTATGTCATAAATCACTTTCACCCTTGAGCTCCCTAAATGGGCGGACAGAGACCACCTGAGCCAGACATGACAGATTGCCCTATGCTAATAGAACATGGTGGTCACAATATAGGTGTGTGTGTGTGTGTGTGTGCATGTGTGTGTGGCTGTATTTGTGTGTATGTGCAAAGGTGCAAAACCTATTTCAGGCTTTAATATGTCCGTAGGGTGCATACATGTGGGTCTCTCGGTCGAAGTAATTACAGTTGCTGAAGATGCCATTGTTTCTGCATGTAATACATCTAGATTTCAAGCATGTGCTGAATGTCCTGGTGTGTGTTCAGTGTGTGTCTGTGTGCAGTAGCAGGAGACAGAGGCCAAGGTTAAAGCATACTCAGCCAGCCGTTGCTGTCGTCGGTGGCTCTTCACATTTAGAGGATGATCCATGCCGCTGTCTGCAGGCTGCACTATAACACTCTAACCAGCTCGCACATATAAAGACACACTGGAGAGACTGGGGCAGTCACTGTTAAATGTCCTTCAGTGGCACAGCAGGGAAACTTTTAAGATGGCCAATATTTTGATTGTTTAGCAAATCTGCCCTTGGAAGAGCAATGAAACTTTTAGATTTGAGAAAGATTACAGCTAGCCTATAGTTTTTCTTTTTTCAAAGCCTCACATGTAACACAAATTGTGCATTTAAAAAACGTTGTCATGAATATTTAATTTGATCAAAATTTGTCATCACATCACTGAACTGTCACTAATCAAATATAAATCTTGGTGAACTTGAATATTTCTACAACTAATTCTGCAGTTGCAACAATTTGTGTCGCCTTCCATTGATTAGGTTGATTGCATCGTACTTGTTGAATACAAGAGCTTTACTTTAATGTGGCATTTCATAAAACAGATTTTAATGCAGCAGGGACACTCTGTTAAAGTCATGGGAGGACTAAAGCTTTGAGTAATAAAAACTGAAGCAATTGCAGAGAAAATGTCAGGTACTCCCTGAAGGGGATAATTGATGAACAAAAATGTAATCCTAAATTGAAAGACCTTGGGGCTATTTAAGCTCATACAGGGTTTATGAAGCTAAATGTTGAATGTGTAAGAGAGAAAGGTCTGGCATTAAAATAAAATAGGAAAGGATATTTAACAATGATAAAACAGTGGACAAATTCTACACATAAATGACAACATAATGGGTGTGTAAACAAATACACACACTCACCTGGTACAGAGGTTCCCAATGCAACAAATACTACAGCTGTGACTGAGTCTTTCAGGCCCACTGTGCAGCCAAAATGAGAAGCCAGGTCCCCTGAAATGATAAGAAAACAAAATCATCATCATAATATTATCTGTGTATGACAATTTGTCTTAGACTCCAACGCTGCATGCCATTTATCCCCAAATGTCCCCAAAAACTGTACAACTAACATCAACATTCTTTATTAAATTTGCCTAAATGCAATTATGTCACAATATCAGCTGTCGCCGTACCGATGACGGCCGTGAGAAGTCCGATCATGCAGATGGAGACTACGAAGCAGGCCCAGCCGTTCCAGTAGTCTGTTGGCGGGACGAAGGCGAACAGAACCTTCCAGAACACGGTGAGGAAGTGCATGACGTAGTCAAAACATGACGGCAGCTTCTCCTCCCCGCACTCCTCGTCATCATCATCCTCGCCTGAGGTGAACAAAGTAAGAGGAAAGAGAATAAGAGGATGGCAAGAGTTTGAAAGTCCTATAAATCAATCAATCATCCAATCACTCAATCATTCACTCTGCGTCCTTTCAATTTTTTTCTTCCTCAATTGGAAAGTGTGCTCATAAATTGTAGCATGTCTCAAACTGTTTGTAACTCATGACTTCCTCCTTCCCTTCTGTGCCGACATATCTTCTTATTTGTGCATGAAGTTTTTAATACATTCAACTATAATGAATAATGCTTAATAGAAAAATACTCCTACAAATACATAAAATGTGTGATTGAATTTAGATATTCGCTTAATAATGAATGAACCAGACATGACTTCACTGCATACAATTAACCTCTTAAAGACGTTGTGATGCATACAAATGTAAAAAAAAAAAAAAAACTATCTAAATCCTTTTTCAAGATGAGTATTTTATATCAAATCAAATTTCTTCCCTGCAGTGTTAGAGGACTTCAATGCCTTTTTGTAACTATTTCACACAAAAAGATCCATGATAGAATGGAAGAAAATCTTGATTTTTAGTTCCATCCTACAAGATGTAGAGCTTGTTTTCATGTAATATCATAGTTTTAAACCACAGGGTTTTTTTTTAAGCATTGCTGTATGAAAAACATCTCAGGCTTAATTGGATCTTTAAAAGGACATTTTTGGAAAAATCTTTATCTCATTAAATACAAGATGCAAGCAGCATTTCTAGTAGATGGAATAGGATTTTGAGTTTGCATGGAACAATGTTGAAATCAGAGGTTTAGATGAGCCAAACTAGCAGTAGCAAGTGCCTTATTTTAAAATATGTCATGTTGGGTTTAATGCATGAATGTATCGCCCTTAAACGTGTCATATAATATAATAAAAGAAGAAATCGTCTTTTATAAAGTCAAGTCAACACTTTAAGCTGACTTTGCTTAATCTATCACTACAATTGTGTCAAAATGAGATGTGCAGTTTCCACAAATGTAGCGTTGCTGTTGGCACTGCTTCCTGGCCTTCTCTCTTGCACATAATGTTGCAAGACAGCCAGATATTTCAGTCATTAAGCAAAAGTCACGAACCAGATCCTATGTGCAATTACTTTAAATTAGCATGGGTTAACACAACGATAAATGTACTGTGATAGAACCAATAGTTTCCTAAAGGGGTCATGTACCTTGTTTAACGTAATTAAAAATAAATGCTTCCTTTTCAGGGTGAGCACTTGGAACAAATCAAATCATGAACTACAAATGAACAGTGCAAGGTCAGTGTAGAGAGCAATGGCCTCATGGTTTGGACACACAAACACACAAAGACTTGGTAATAAATTATAAAACAAGACTCTCTGCCTGAGTTATGTCATTTGTTCTGTTTACGCCCTTCACTCCCACACAGTCCCTACTTGCTTTTGTTCCTGTAACAGGGAGTTTTGATTTTGGGGTGCCCACATATGGGAAAATGACAATGTCGGGTCACCCAAAGAGAAAGTAGTGTGTCCAAGGAAATGAAAAGAGGCTCATATCAGATGCCACATCTTGGGGCTAAAACTGTGAGCTAACCAGTGTCAATGCCTTAATGTAAATTTTGTATCATTGAATGGTCCCTGTGGTTCCATATAGTTTTGACTCATGCCAAATCCTGCACCACTTTTGACCTCACTGTTTTATATTTAGCTGTAGCTTTTTGTTAAAACTCAAATGGTCTGTAAGTGAAAGGCAGTTGTATCAGATGATTTGTAGTTACTCACTTCTACCAAATTCAGCCATTGATAAGCAACTCAACAAGGATTATAGATGACAGCAGTGGGTTTTTTTTTTAAAGTGGGGCCTTTATGTACAGCTCACTATTTGTAAAAAGGCTGATAATTAGTGTATTGGACCTCTTGCATATAGCTAAGACTACAATCTTACAAAAAGTAAGTATAACAAAAGGATCCAAGTTAAATTCCAATCCACGTCATCTTATTTTTGAAATAATAATGCCAGATGGAGGAAGAGACAGCTAATCAATGAGCTTACAACTGAGAGTTTTTAGGACGGTCCTCAAGCATTGGGTATAGATTGACACAGTCCAGGGTAAGGGGAGTTGTGATCCTATCTAAGCCACCAAACCTATTGACTTAAAACAGGTGTTTTAAGAGCATCAATAGAACAATAAATTGTTTGCATGCTTTTGTTGCAACAAGGGGATAGTGTCAGACAATCAACAGAATTACTTTCCACATTGTGTAACATTATTTAATTTCATTTAAAACCTTTTTTTTTTTTTTTTTTAATATTATGTACTTTTCTCATCCCGATGGGGCATTGAACTTTCACCCTGTTATTTTGAGACACACTTCACCCACACAGAAGCCGGAAAGCACAAACAGGACCTTTAGACCTGCATTAATGGAGAGATGTCAGAGTGAGGGGACTGCACAGGGACTGGCGGCCTGAGTAGGTGGTGTTCAGTGCCTTGCTCAGTGGCTCACCTTAGCAGTACTCAGGAAGGAAACTAACACCTCTCAAGCAAGCAGTCCCAAATTCCACACTCTGTATATAAATAAAGAACAACTACGAGGAAGCTGATGCCTGTTGTGCAACAGAGGTTCTGATTGTAGGTAAACTGAAATTCTGTGTTATTGGTAAGAATATACAGATCAAGCATTAAACATTTTCTTTTGGGATCATTCAGTTTTTCCACATTTTGCAGGCTCCACAGTACATCTATATTCATGTCTCTGACGCCTCTGACACATGTCTCTCTCAAACTCTGTCTTTTTTATTGTATTTCTATTGTTCATCGTCTATCTCTCTTTACTTTCTTTCTGTGCCTGACATGCACACTCCCTTCTCAGCTCAATTCTTTATTTCCATGCTCAGTTAGGTGCCATACTCAGCAGTACTCAGGAAGGAAACTAACACCTCTCAAGCAAGCAGTCCCAAATTCCACACTCTGTATATAAATAAAGAACAACTACGAGGAAGCTGATGCCTGTTGTGCAACAGAGGTTCTGATTGTAGGTAAACTGAAATTCTGTGTTATTGGTAAGAATATACAGATCAAGCATTAAACATTTTCTTTTGGGATCATTCAGTTTTTCCACATTTTGCAGGCTCCACAGTACATCTATATTCATGTCTCTGACGCCTCTGACACATGTCTCTCTCAAACTCTGTCTTTTTTATTGTATTTCTATTGTTCATCGTCTATCTCTCTTTACTTTCTTTCTGTGCCTGACATGCACACTCCCTTCTCAGCTCAATTCTTTATTTCCATGCTCAGTTAGGTGCCATACTGATAAAGTGGTTATCCAAGAGTAATTCTTTCTTTTTCTCTCCAACTCTGTCTTACACACTCTTTCCATCCTCGGTCACATTTTGCTGATATAGCGTCTATATAATTGAATTTTCTCTGTTACTCTCTCGCTTCATGCCTCTAAATCTACCTCATCCCTCTACAACCTTCTGTCACTCTCTAAATGTCACTGACACACTCCTCACTCCAGTTTGTGTGTGTCTATGTCTCTGTGTGTGTGTGTGTGTGTGTGTGTGTGTGTGTGTGTGTGTGTGTGTGTGTGTGTGTGAGATTAGAGATTTGTGTTATACCCTGTCAGAAGAAGAAGAAAAATAGTAAATGCTAATGTAACTTACACCAAAACCTGAACAAACACAGATGAAGACTAAAACTATATCTCTCACTCTCCCAGTGATTTTGCATGTGTGTTTTCCCTCGCTGTTCACTGAGCGTGCCCAGAAGGTGCGTTCTCATTGGTTATAAGAGATCAAGAGATGTGGACTGCAGCTCATCTCTACTTGCGCTCGCCAAGTGAGGAGTGTGGCTGTATGCTTTAAAATATATAGTCTGCGCTCAGGGGGATGTTCAAATCAGTCATACACACACACACACACATAAACACACATTTCTAGTCTCACACACACGCAGAGAAAATGGTCTGACAAGTTCCTGTGTAGAAAAACACTGACTTCCTCTGAAAAACTCCTTCAATCACTTTCCTTAAGAGAAAAAGACAGAGATGGAAGAATTCATGTCAGGCTTTGTGTCTTCTAGGCAAAAATATTCTCAGGCTTAAACACAAACAAAAAAGACATACTACTTAGAATGAGAAAACTGTGTAAGCACTGAGGAATGCTTGGCTTGTACAAGGGCTAAAATATATATATTCAGATGCGCGAAGTCTCTTATTTTCAGTGTTTCACATGAGCAACCACCACCTATATGCACTCTTCTCTTTGAGTACGGGCATGTAGACATATAGTAAGTCTATAAATTACACATACACACACTGTGGATCAGGTGATGAATAACACTGTGTGGGCTCAGTAATTAGAGGGCAGTGGAGTGTGTGGAGAGGCTTCACATCAATCTCTTTCTCATTCTTTCACTTTTCTTCCTCAATCTCTGTCTCTCTAGCACTTGATTTCCTTTTTTTTATTGATTTTTTGTGTCCTTTCGTTTGTGGCTGCGCTCTCAAGGCAGTCTACAGTCTAACTGGAAGTTATTCTCCAAACAAGGTTGTTGTGCGATTAAACTGCTGGAATCAATTAATACCTACTGTATAAGCTTAATATATAACAACCGCTACTTGGACTTGTACTGATAAGATCAAATAAATTGTCCACCAAGGCAAATCTTGACTTTCGGTCCTGAGAATAAAAACATCCGTAGGCCATAAAACCCCCCAAAATAAGCAACAACACACAACCTCACAATTTAATTTGATAAGTTTAACATATAAACTATTTTAATGCAATTTCCGTGTGCCATGTTGTTTGTTGTCTTTAACTTTAGCCTAAAAAAACAACCCATATGAATGTTTTCTGATTTTGTCATTGGAAGGAAAATATCTAATGTTTGGTTTTACCAATCCTAAAATGAAAGTTGGTGGGATGAACAACTGTCTTCTGTGTCAAAGCTGCATGCTTTTAATTTCAAACCATCAGCCCCAGTTCTCCCCCTATGACATGGATCAGATCAGACAATTGACCTGATG